AGAGGGCCAGATTTGATGAAGTGAATATGCGTGAGGGCCGACCATTTTGCCTGACATTCTTTGAACCATTAAAATTAAATGCAAATTAACTATTTTATGCAAAGTTTATTGCAAACGGCATACTTTTCATTTCGTCACATGGATGACAAATCTAAACAGGTTATCTGAAGGCCAGATGAAAAAAAATCCAGGAAGCTGAAATATATGTCAGGAACATTGTAAAGTACATTACATATTATTGGTAATAAAGGTTGTCTGTCAACTTTTAAGTTCAAAAAATATGAACAGGAACATAACACCAAGTATACATGTTGTGTCCAAATATATTTATAACTGATTTAGACCAACTGACATTAACTGAGATTTTACAATGTATTCATCTCAATACGTATGGATTCGTTGGGGGCCATAAAAGATAGATATTGCCAAATTACCTGTGGTGCCATATTAAACCGGAACACGGGCCGCAATTGGCCCGCGGGCCAGACTTTGGACATGCCTGGGCTACGTAGTTCGAACTATGTAGCCCGTGCCGCGTGTCGCCGCGCGGCACGGGGTTCGAACAAGCCGGCATTTAAAAATGGCACCGGCCGGCTTATGCAAATGAAGCCCGGGAAATTCAAATCCCGGGCTTCATTTGCAAGTGCGGTATGCCTACATTACCACCCTAGTTCGAACTAGCGGGGTAGTGTAGACATACCCTCAGTGATAATCTAGCTCAGCTATCCTCAACCAGTCAATCATGATCAACTGGTCGATCGCGGAGTCACTGGCAGTTGATCTCCACCACAGTCCCACATTTTCCCCATTTCCCCTTTGTTTTGCACTAGCAGACGGCACTTTCACAAAGCATTTGGCAACTTATAGCTTGTGAGCCATATATGGCTTGAACTCAGCTCCTCCTCAATCCTGGCCCTTGCAAAATTGGAGCCAGCACCGGCTTCTTGTAGAGGGGGAGACCTGAGGCTCTACGCAAGACACGGTTTGTTGAGAAGCACGTGTGCTGCTCCTTCACTCCCCACAGCAGCATGCGTGCTTTCTTCTTCGCCCTACCTTCCCCCATGCTCCAGGGATACAGGACATGGGAGCTGCACAGCCTCCCCCCATCTGGTGATCACCAGAGAGTGTGCATCTGGCTGCACCCGGTGTGGTGTTGATACACTGAGCGTGCAAGACACTGAGCTAAGATGGCAGCAGAGAATCCGGACTTTGGGTAGGAAGAGCAGCTGAAATTATTAAAGGAGCAGCATGTGAGCTTCTTCCAATGCTGCCTGTAGATTCTGCCCAAGAGATACTCATCCCTGAAGACCCCCAGGTATCAGCTGAGCTGCTCCCTTCCCCCTGACAAGCTGCTCCTGTCCCCTCCCTCTTAACTAAAACCCACTAGCACCTTGCTCCTTCCCCCTAGCCAGACACTCACCAGCACCGTTCCTGCCCCTTTACACCTGACTAGCCACCCACCAGCTCCATGTTCCTGCCCCCTCCCTCCTGGCCAGACACCTACTCCCAGCTTACTCCTGCACCCTACCTCCCACCCAGACTCTGCACCCCCATCCCACTCACTGGAAGCTCTGTCCTGCACACTGGTCCCCTCATTTTTGGCCCCACCACCAGAGCCTAGGGGCCTCACAAAATCCACTAACCCTGGAATCTCAGAAGAGTTAATCTGGCCTGAGGCCTTGAACCTTAATCCTCCCTTCCCACCTACCCATGAGACTCGAGTGCCAGAGGAGTGAGGTGTCTCAGTATGGGGCTATATCAGTGAGGGCTGGGGGATTCTGAAGATTGGCTTTGGGTTGGGTTTTTTTTATTCTCACTTGTGTGGTCCCTGGCTGATTTTTCTGTGGGTCAGTGGCCCCTGACCCAAAAAAGGTTCCCCACCCCTGCCATAATAAGATGCTGTTGAAACTTTTTGTGTTGGACATAATGTTTTACTTTATTTAAAAATGAAGCCTGGCCAATAGGCCCCCAATTGGGACCCAGCCCGCATCTGGCCACAACATCATAACACTCCTGCACGCCCCCACATCCCAACCTTGAGCCCATCATACACCTGAACCCCCTGCCCTCAGCCATTCACGCCCCCACATCCCCAAACTCCTGCACCCCCACATCCCCAGCAGACTGACAGAAGACAGCCTGAATATCTGCATGAAGTAAACTTCAAAGAAATGTGTGAAAAGATGCAGTAGCACAAGTCCCATTAAATAAAGTCTGTGAGTACAAAGTTTCATTTATGCTATTATCAATCATCACATCAATTATCAATAGTATTAAGTTGCCTGGAGCCCCCTCCTCAAGCCAGCATCCCCTTCTCTACTCCTTCCTGCACCCAAATTCCCTCCCAGAGCTCGCACCTCTAACCCTTTCCCACACCCAAATCCCTTGCTTCTGCCCCAGAGCCTGCACCTCCTGTCTCAATCCAGTGAAAGTGAGTAAGGGCTGGGAACAACAAGTGATGGAGAGGGGGGCAATGGAGTGGGCAGGGCCTCAAGGAAGGGGTGGGGCTTCAGGGATGGGATGGAATAGAGCCTGGCTTCCCCTGATATTTAAAAAGTGATCTTAAGTGTAAAAAGATTGGAGACTAAGATGGTGCTTGATCCTGCAGTGAGGGCAGGGGACTGCATTAGATGATCTCTCAAGATTCCTTCCACTTCCAGAATTCTATGATGCTATGATTCTAACCTGAGAAAGGGTTTGAACTCTCTTCCCTCTGAGTTTTGAGAGAAGATTCTAGTTGGTTCCAATGTGATCCCATCTCTTAGTTATATAATAAAGATAATTATAAGGAGGTGACTTTAAAAGCAGTTGGAAGCTTAGAATAGAGATGCTTCTTACAAGTGTATGCGTTCTAAAGTATTTATACTATCATTAAATTGACCTTCTGTCTTTTGGTAGATCAAGAACCATATCAAGAAAAAAAAGATAGAAGGGTTATGAAGAGAAAGGAAAGAGAAGAGACAAAGAGACACAAAGAGGGCATTGAAGAGAGGTCTAAGCACTTGGGTACAGTAGCTTGAGCTGTAATCTATACTCTTAAGTTATTAACATCTCTGTCATTGGATCCCCATCCTTATAAAGAGGAAAAGATGATAGTACTGACTTTCACCACAGGGCAGTGATTGAATTAAGTAGCAATTTGTAAGATTGAAGGTAATATTGAGCAATTTATATATTTGAAAGGTTATGCAAATATGTAGTAGCTCATCTAATTAAACTAATTTCAAAGTACTAAGTAGTGGAATGACTATTTTAATAGACCACAAGCTGCCAATAAAAATGTTCCCCCCCTCCCCATGTGGAGAAACAGGTCATTTGTATAAAACAGAAATTGCCTGCTGTGATCTTTATGAAAACAACTGCAGTACTTCAGACAATGCAGCTGAAAGTGGAACTATCAACAGTTATAAATACAACATTAAC